ACTATTGCAATTATATGCCTTTACAAAAACCATTTCTTCATTGGTAGCGACGCTGGAAAATGTTATGCTAGAAGAAATAAGCCAGGTCAAAAAAAGATAGATACTGAATGTTCTCACTTATATGTGGAATCTAAAACAATCAAACTGAAAGAAGCAGAGAGTAGAATGGTCATCGGCAGAGGCTGGAGGTGTGGGGTGGAATGGATAGATGATGTTCAAAGGGTACCAAGCCTCAATTATACACAAGAAATAAGGTATTTGTTTTCTTTGAGATATATTGCAAAACTTGGTAAAAATTGTACATAGTAAAGTATTTTACATTTCAAAATCACTAAGAGAGTAAATTTCGAATGCATTCAACATTAAAAATAAAAAGGGTATTTGGGGTGATGGATGTTAATTAGGTTGATATAATTATTCTAAATTGTATTCATAAATTATAACATCACTTTTTACTCCCGAAAGATATACAACTATGATTTGTCAATTTACAATTTAAAAATAAAAATTAAAACACAAAACAAAACAAGAAAACACAACATGTGTGTGTGTACATAGGCATGTGTGCATGCATACTGGTTCACACACACACCCCTCACCTCCATTACTTTCCAAAGTGGACAAATGTGTAATTATTTTGATTTACACTCCAAATATCTAATCTGATTCTAACATTTTCATGCAGAATTGTCAGTGGCCAGTTGAGAAGGGAAAAGCTGGCTGGCAGACTACAACATCAACTCAGAATATTTTTAAAATGACTTTCTCATGGGTTTTGAGGATTTTTTTGATGTTTCTGTTGTTGTTAATTACCTACACTACTTCTGTAGTGTAGGTAATGTTCATCAGCAATGGAAATAAAGCCTAGTTGTCAATGCTTCCACATTGTCTAAACCCTACAGCTAAAAATGATGGGTGTTATTCATCTGTAAACTACGTTTATGTGGTCTTTACATCCATAATTCTCTGTATGTTGCACTGTCTGATGTAAGAGAATTAAGAAGATCATGGTGGCCCGCGCGCCGCCCGCCGCACCTGCGGCCTAGGAGCCGGGGAACCCGGGCGACCCCCCAGAGCAGGAAGAAGTCCCGCTCCGGCCTCTGCTGCGCTTTCAGCTGGCTGCGGGGTAAGCGGTGCAAGAAGAAGGCGGCCGGGGCCGAGAGCACTGAACCGGCCGCCCCCGGGCCACGAAGGCGGAGGACAAGGCCAAGAGGGCCAAGGGCAAAGGCCGAGGCTCTGCCAAGGCTGAGAATGACAAACGTCTGAGTGCAGGGCCCAGCCAGGGGCCAGGGCCTACAGTGGATGAGCACCAGGACAATGTCTTTTTCCCCAGTGGACGAACCCCGTACCTGGAAGAGCTGCACACGCAGGCCCAGGAGGTGCTCCGCTCCCTCCAACACCAAGAGAAACAGAAACTGAATAAGGGTGGCTGGGACCATGGAGACACCCAGAGCATCCAGTCCTCCCGGATGGGGCCAGATGAAGACAACATCTCCCTCTGCAGCCAGGCCGCATCCTACTTGGCTGAGAGCTCCACAGCAGAGGACGCGCTCTCCATCCACTCGGAGATGATCCAGCGCAAAGGCTCCACCTTCCGACCCCGTGACTCATTTCCCAAATCCAGAGGGTCAGGGCGGCGGGCGGTGGAGCACTGTGCTGGGACTCCCGCGGCATATGCAGAAGGAGCTTGGCCCGCGGAATGAGCGCGAAGCACCAGGCACGCCCCCGGCCTCCTGGTGCGCGGGATGCTCTGCGCGTCCCCACGGCACTTCAGGGATGGGGGGCCCGGGTGTCCCTGCAGGCGCTGGAGGCGGAAGCAGAGGCTGGCGCTGAGACAGAGGCCATGCTGCAACGCCACACTGACCGTGTCTACCGGGATGACACCTTTGTTGGCCGGTCCACAGGTGCCCTGCCCCCACCATTGACCTGGCCCATGTCCCTAGCAGTGCCTGGACTGACAGGAGGGGCAGGGCCTACAGAGCCCCTGAGCCCGGCCATGTCCATCTCCCCCCAGGCCACCTACCTGTCGAAGCTGATACCACATGCCGTGCTGCCACCCACAGTGGACGTGGTGGCCCTGGGCCGCTGCAGCCTGCACTCAGCCAGCCCGGCCTCTGTCCGCTTACTGGGGCGCTTCTCTTCGGTCTCCAGCCCACCGCCCCGCAGCCGCCACCCTTCCTCCTCCAGTGACACCTGGAGCCACTCTCAGTCCTCTGACACCATTGTGTCTGATGGTTCCACCCTCTCTTCTAAGCGTGGCTCTGAGGGGCAGCCGGAGGGCTCTGTGGCTAGCAGTAGTGTGGCACCTCCTCCCCAGGGAGGCAGTGGGAGGGGCTCCCCCAGTGGGGGCAGCACTGCTGAGGCCTCAGACACACTCAGCATTCGGAGCAGTGGGCAGTTGTCTGGCCGGAGTGTGTCCCTACGTAAGCTGAAGCGGCCTCCACCCCCTCGGACCCACTCCCTCCATCAGCGGGGCTTAGCAGTGCCTGACGGGCCCTTAGGGTTGCCCCCAAAGCCTGAGCGTAAGCAGCAGCCCCAGCTGCCTCGGCCGTCCACCACTGGTGGTGGCCCACCATCTGGGAGTGGGGGCAGCACCCTGTCCATCCAACCCAGCGAACAGCTGGGTGGCCTGCTTGTCTCTGGGTGGCTCCCGACACTCCCCACGCTCCCCAGAACGGACGCTTTCACCCTCCAGTGGATACTCTAGCCAAAGTGGTACCCCCACCCTCCCTCCCAAGGGCCTGGCAGGTGCCCCGGCTTCACCAGGCAAGGCCCAGCCCCCTAAGCCAGAGCGTGTCTTGTCACTTCGCTCCCCTGGGGCCTCTGTGTCCTCTTCTCTCACGTCTCTGTGTCCCTCCTCTTCCGACCCTGCCCCCTCAGACCGCTCTGTGCCACAGATGTTGACCCCTCTGGGTGACAGGTTTGTCATACCTCTTCACCCCAAGGTGCCTGCCCCCTTTTCCCCACCTCCCTCCAAACTCAAGAGCCCCAGCCTAGCTGCCCCTGCTCCGCTACCCCTGCTGCAGTTACTGCGCCTGTCTCTACCACTGATGCAGGTCCTCCGTCCCCTTCCACTCCCCAGACATCCTTGACCGCACTGCAGGAGTCTCCCATCGTCTCCAAAGACCAGTCGCCCCCACCGTCCCCACCCCCATCTTATCATCCACCCCCACCATCCACTAAGAAGCCAGAGGTGGTGGTGGAGGCGCCATCTGCTCCAGAGACTGCCGAGGAGCCCCTCCAAGATCCCAGGGGGCCCCCACCTCCACCCCCTAGTCCTGAGGAGCAGGACCTGTCCACGGCTGACTTCCCTCCACCCGATGGCCGGCCCTGAGCCTGCAGGCCCTTCAGGCTCCCCAGAGCTTGTCAGCTCCCCGGCTGCTTCCTCCTCCTCAGCTACTGCTTCGCAGAGTCAGCCCTGCGGAACCCAGACCCTCCTCCAGCTCCGCCAGCCCCAGCTCCTGCTAGTTCTGCCCCAGGGCTTGTGGCCAAGCTCCCTCAGAAGGAACCAGGGGGCAGCAGCAAGGGCGGCGGGCCTCCCACGGAGGACACGGGTGCACCCCTGGTCGCGCCCTCGATCCTGCAGATGGTGCGGCTGCGCTCCGTGGGTGCTCCAGCAGGGGCTCACACCCCGGCACTGGGGCCACCGGCCCCCCAGAAGCCACTACGAAGGGCCCTGTCGGGGGGGCCAGCCCGGCGCCTGCCCCCTCCTCAGGGCTCCATGCTGCCGTCCGACTCAGGCCTCCAGCCTGGCCGCCAGCGAGGGCCTCTCAGGTGCCCAGCCCAGTGGACCACCTGAGGCAGAGCCACGGCCTCCTCAGTCCCCTGCCTTGATGGCCAGCTCCCTGTTCTCCAAGGGCACTAAGAAGCTGCAGCTGGAGCGGCCCGTGTCCCCCGAGACCAGGCTGACCTCCAGCGGAATCTGGTGGCTGAACTCCGGAGCATCTCGGAACAGCGGCCATCCCAGGCCCCAAAGAAGTCACCTAAGGCTCCCCCGCTTGTGGCCCGCAAGCCGTCTGTGGCAGTCCCTCCACCCGCCTCCCCCAGTTACCCTCGAGCTGAGCCCCTCACTGCTCCTCCCACCAACGGGCTCCCTCACACCCAGGACAGGACTAGGGGAGCTGGCGGAGAATGGAGGTGTCGTGCAGCTGGTGGGCCCAGAGGAGAAGATGAGCCTCCCAGGCTCAGACTCACAGGAGCTGGCCTGACCACCAGGCACCTCCCTGGCCCTGCTGACCCATCCCAGAAACACAATCTCAGGGACCCGAGCGGCTCCAAGGACGAGGATACAGCAGACACAACGTAACAGAGAGGGCGCCTGCAGCCTTAACCCCACGGCCTTCGACACTCATGCAAGCCTGGTGTTGCCCCTGTCCTCGGAATCATCCCGCGCTCGTGCCTTTTCCTGAATGGGCTCACCTCTGCAGTTGCCGCTTCAAAAAAAAAAAAAAAAAGAGAATTAAGAAAAAATTCTCATAAAGCAAGTTGCAGCCAAGTTTCACTAGAAAGGTTTAAAACACCAAGTTACAACAAAATGATTATGGGGAAAATAAATTAGACACAGCTGATATACATGATGGTAAACAAAAGGAAAACATGGAGCAGAGCAGGAAATCAAATTCTACTTGTTGTTTATTTGGAAAGGATTTATCTTATCTTTAAAATTACTATAGTGGGAATTTTGGTGATTTCTAGGCTAGTTACTTTGTGAAGAGCTCATGATAGTTCTTATTCATTTAGTGTATTCTAACACAGCACTTTATTTCATAATTGTTGAGGGGGTCCAAATGTAAGTCTTCAAAGAATGATATAATCATTAGAAATACATCAAGGAATAAGTACAATAAGGCAAGTAAATTTACGGATGTTCCATCAGAGATAAGTGGGACATTGCAAATTAACAACAGTGGAAGAACAGATCACAGTTTATTTTCTTACTTTAAAGGACATCATTTTTGAATTTTTTAAAATTATAGGGAAGTATGTTTAGTTTGGTATAGATGCTCAATTATTCAAAAGGCAACCTAGAAAAGTTAGAAACAGCCCACTTCATTATTTTTCATTATAATAACCAATATGAAACTTTTCCTGGAAGACTAAAATCTTACCACAAAAAATTAAGCAAAAACATTTGGCAGTTCTGATATGACATACAGCCTATTTTGAAATGGTATGTTTTTAATTTTTACAAACATTTTCACTTTGAGATAATTTCACATGTGCTTAAAAGTTGAAAAAATATGCAAAGAACTCCCATATACCTACCCTTTACCCAGGTTCACCAGCTGTTAACATTTCATCACATCTGTTTGTTCTAGATATGTATAGATACAAATATACACACACCTTTTTTTTTAATTATCTAAGAGCAAGTTGCAAACAGTACACCCGTTTACTTCTATGTACTAGTGTAGATTTCCTAAGAACAAAGTCATTCCTTAAAGGAGGAAATTTAGTGAGACTTTCTCACGGCAGTAAATGACATTCTGAGCCAGCTGATTTGGCCTTGTGACTATATGAGGGACTGTTTAGCCTTGTATTCTTTTTTAATCTCCTTCCTTCTTTATGCCCAGTTATATTGTTCTTCGTTTTGTTTACTCTCATAAATGTCAGATTTGTCCATGTGATTTATCAAGTTTATCAGAATATCAGCTTGAACCTTTTCTTTCTAACGTTTATCTAAACATCTCAGGAGAATCCCATCCTTCCTTCTCTCTGTTATTCCGTTTGCAAAGTTAAAAAAAAAAAAGCCTTAGTTATGGCTTTTCAGTATTCATAGTAGTACAGATAATACATTTATATCAAGGAAAAGAAATGCATTTAAATGTAAGGAGACGTAATACAGAATTTGTATACCAAATTCTGAACTCATAACTATTTTTAGAGGATAATTTGAAAGTTAAACAAAAATATACTTTTTCTTGATTTGGTCTTATTTTGCTCTTTTTTTTTCTTATTTTTGTTTGTTTGCCGTTTGTCGTTTGAGGTAGGGACTTAGTTGGTTGAGGCCTTTATCACTTCTGATATTAACATTTAGTAATAAAAATTTTCCTTTCACCCCTGCTTTAGCTGCATCTTACATATTTTCTATACCTTATTTTTATTTTAAATTAGTTGTATGTACTTTAGTATATTGTAAACAAAATAATATTTATAAAATAAAATCCAAGACAATCAAGGCTTTACTTTCTTTTCTTTTCTTTTTTTTTTTTTTTTTTTTTTATTTTTTTTTTTTTTTTTTTTTTTTTTTTTGAGACGGAGTTTCGCTCTTGTTACCCAGGCTGGAGTGCAGTGGTGGGATCTCGGCTCACCGCAACCTCCACCTCCTGGGTTCAAGCAATTCTTCTGCCTCAGCCTCCCAAGTAGCTGGGACTACAGGCATGCGCCACCATGCCCAGCTAATTTTTGTATTTTTAGTAGAGACGGGGTTTCACCTTGTTGACCAGGATGGTCTCGATCTCTTGACTTCATGATCCACCCGTCTCGGCCTCCCAAAGTGCTGGGATTATAGGCATAAGCCACCGTGCCCGGCCCCAAGGCTTTACTTTCTTAACATTTGTTGAAGTTTAAGTCAGCACAACATCTTCTCAGATCTTTTACTGTTTGGATGGCTTCATAATTTGTTCCCTACTTATTTCCTCTTTCCTTTAAATAACAATTAACAGATTCCATAGACAATATTGAATGAAACCCCAAATATAACTAAAGTACGTGGAAGTAAAAGAGATGGAAGGGGAAGTTATATATGAACCAACTTATACACTTTTTAATAATTTATTTTTTTACTTAAAAAATAAGTAGAGTATAAAGGTAGTCCTTTGCTTAATCACTGAATCTAAAACTGTTTCCTATAGAATAAAACAAGTAAAATAATCATCATCCATTATAAGCTTAATCAAGATGAGCACTGTTTATTCCTGATTAATTTATAACTTTCTGCTGCTGTTTTTAAGAACAACTTTGTTTAGCCATAATTTAAATTTCGTGTAATTTACCCACTTAAAATGTTTGATACATGTTAATATATTCATTCAGTTGTTCAATCATCACCAAAGTTTAGTTTTATAACATTTTTGGTACCCTCAAAAGAGTCCCAGTGCCCATGAGCCATTGCTTCCCATTCCTCCTCCACCTCACATTGTTAGGCAACCAGTGTCTAAACTCACCTGTTTGGGAGATTTTATAGAAATGAAATAATACAAAATGCACTCTTGGTTTCTAGTTTCTTTTATCCAGCATGATATTTGCAAGAATTTAATATTTTCACCCAGGTTGCAGCATCTGTTAGTGCTTCATTCCTTTGCTTTTTGGTAGACATGATGTATAGATACACCAGATCATATTTATCCATTCGTCAATTAACATTGGGATTGTTTTTACTTATTGGCTATTATAAGTAATGCTGTAATAAATATTCAATATTTTTGAAGAGCTTGTGAAGAATGGCACTAATTCTTTAAATGAGTGGTAGATATTATTTTAGAATTTGATATTTTGTCAAAGTTATCTAATATGTTGACATAACTTTTCTTTTCATATTATCCTGTGTAGTTCTCTCTATTTCTATAAGGTCAGTAGCCATGTCCCCTCTTTCATTCTTAATTTTAGTAAATTGAAACTTTCTTTCTCCCTGTAAGTGTAGCTAAATGTTTGTTAATCTTTTTAAAGACCCAACTCTTGGTTTTGTTGATTATCATTTTTTCTACTTCTTTAATTTCTATTTCAATGTTTATTATACTCTTTCTTCTGCTTATTTTTCATCGTGGCCTCATCTCTGACTCACTGGTTATTTAGAAGTATGTTGCTAATTTTTATATATTTATGCTTTTCCCAAATTTCTTTCTGTTTTTAATTTCTAATTTAATTCTATTTTGATCAAAGAACAATCATTTTCTACTCTTTGAGATATGGTTTTTGGCCTAGCATATGATCTATTTTAGGAAATATCCCATGTGCACTTGAGAGTAATATTCTGCTTTTGGGTGTACTATACTGTGGATGTCTGTTAGATCTAGCTAGTTTATACTGTTACACAAATCCTCTATTTCTTGCTAGCAACTGTTTAGTTTTTCTTATTATTGAAAGTGAGATATTGATGGCTGCAACTATTACCATCTCCAACTATTATTGTTGAATTCTAGCTTTAATTCAGTCTGTTTTTGTTTCATGAATTTTGGAAATATTTTGATCAGTGCACATAGGTTTATACTTTTTATACCTTCTCGAGGTAACAGTCTCTTCAACATTACAATGTGTCCTTCTTTATCTCTGATGTATTCGTCTGTTCTCACACTGCTAAGAAAGACATACCTGTGACTGGGTAATTTATAAAGGAAAGAGGTTTGGCATAGCCGGGGAGGGGTCACAATCATGGTGGAAGGCAAGGAGGAGCAAAGTCACATTTTACAGTCATGGTGGCAGGCAAGAGAGCATGCTTTATAAAAGCATCACATCTCACCAGACATCATCACAAGAACAGCATCAAAAAACCCACCCCCGTGATTCAATTACCTCCTACTGGGTCCTTCCCACATGGAGATTATTGCAATTCAAGGTGAGATTCGGGTAGGGACACAGAACCAAATCATATCATCCGATAATATTTTTGTTGTTTTAAGGTCTATTTTTCTGATATTAATTAGTTACTCTAGGTCCCTTGTGGTTGGTGTTTGAATGGTATATCTTTTTATATTTTTTATTTTAGGCTATTAGTATCTTTGAATCTGAAGTGTCTCTCCTGTAGATAGCACATAGTTGAATCTCTCTTTTTTTTTTT